ACCGTCGCTTGCCGCCACTGCCTGGGGACCTCTGCGGTCCGCCACGACATGTTGATGATGGTCAGCAGGACCTTGCGAGCCACCGGTCCTAGATGTCGGAGCATCTCGTTCGAGATGCCGTCTGGTCCGGGGGCCTTCTTGAGCTGGAGTCCGCTGAGCTCTCTGACCAGGTCCTGCAGGCTGAAGGGACCGCATGCTCCTTCTCGTCGATCGCCGCACCCGCGGCAGGAGCGGTGCTCTTCCCGTAGCTGCCTCTTGGTATCGCGGTCCAGCTTCGGTATGCGCACCTGCTTCGAGACCCTCGCATACTCTTGGACGAAGGCCTCTGCCTTATCGCGGTCGGTTACGATGAGGCGGTCTCCCTTCAGCATCGCTTGGCCGTCCCTGGGCTCATCGTCACAACATCGCTCCCACTTCTTCAGCGTCTTGTGGACCCTGCCGACGTTGGCTGGCCTGTTCAAGGTGGTGGAGACGAAGTCCTTGAAGTGTGCGATGGTGGCCTTCTTCTCCAGTTCGGCCGCGCGTCGCTTGGTCGCGATCCAGCGCTCCCGGGACGGTGTGTCACCATCGCGCAGGGCCGCGCGCGCCGCGTGCCGTTCTACGATCGCCTCCTGGAGGTCGGGGTCCAAGGCCCACGGGCGAGGATCCGCCCTGGCGCCTCGCGGGATGTGGCGGACCGCAGCCCGTTGCAGCGCCGACTCGAACCGGTCCGCCAATACCTGAGTCGTCAGGTCCGGCTCCAGTTCGGCCAGCGACTGCTCGCAGTCGGCCGCGAACGCCTGCCACTCCGCCTTGTGGAACGCCCACTTGATCTTGCGGACCCTCCTGGGGGGCGCCGTCTCGGACCTCACCTCCACCACCATGGGAAGGTGGTCGCTCCCAAGGTCAGGGCCGAGAGACCACACTGCCCTGCGGGCCAGGGGGGCACTGCACGCGGCGAGGTCTGGGGCCGTCTGAGCACCTGATCGGTAGCTCGCGAAGGTGGGTTCTCCGCTGTTGAGCGGGACCCATCCCTCCGCTTCCATCCAGTCAGCCATCCTCTCCCCCACCGCGTCAGCCGCTTCGCAGGCCCTGTCCCAGCTGGGGTGATGGCCGTTGATGTCGCCGATGATTATGGTCTTGTTGTTGTTGGGGAGGCATCGCGGGTCGAAGCGGTCCTCTCGGTCGTCACCCGTCGCCCGGATGGGCGGTCTGTAGATGTTGAGCACATCCAGTGTCTGCGGTCCTAGCAGACGGACTCCACAGAGCTCCGTGGTGTCGTCCGCTGCCGCCAGGTACCGGTCGGAGAGAGGTGAGAAGTGTAGTCCAGCTCGGACATACACTGCGACGTCTCCTCCCTTCGCCGACACCGCGCCGGTCTGTCTTCCGCGCGCCCTGCGCACTACGACGGGGGGCTGGAACCCTGGTATGCTCGGCACCGCCTTCGGCAGCTGAGCCTCTTGAATGGCCGCTACATCTGCTTTAATCGCGGAAAGCCAGCCTCCCAGTTCTTGCACCTTGGTGCGCAAACCTTCGGCATTCCATGAGACAAGAGTCACGTGGCTTCTCCTGGCCCGATTCTTGCGGTAGCGGCGGTTCTTGAGGCGGCGCCTACTGCCAGTCCCCACCCCGTCGGTGCTCCCTCCTCCGGCGACGGAGGGGGGCGCGGCCGGCGCGCTAATCACTCAGCGGGCCGGGGCCGCGCTGCGAGCGCGGCTCCCAGGCCCCCGGGGGCATTGAGCGCTGCCCAGGCGACGGACGACCCTCGGCGAGGAAGAGTCGGTAGATGGAGTACGTGCCACCATGGCGGTGGCCGCGCGCAGAGGAAGAGAGGCAAGTTGAGTCCGTTTGGCGTTCCGTCCGCGGCTGTCCACCGCAGACGGCGGTCGCAGGCGACCACACCCCCCACCACTTGAAGGCGGACTCGTCCAGGGGGCAGGTTAACTCCTCGTACTATCGCATCCAACTCTGCTTGCTTGCTTCATTGAGGGAGCACATCGATTATGTAGCACGGAGGTTAGCCACAGATGATCCGGCCCGCGGACGATGGTGCGTATCCGGAGACTCCGCTGGTTGCGCCGGGAAGACACCTCGCATATCAATATGGCAGAGTAGGTTAACTCCTCGTACTATCGCATCCAACTCTGCCATATTGATATGCGAGGTGTCTTCCCGGCGCAACCAGCAGGCATCTTCAATTGCCCTTCCGTCTTCGGATTCCACAACGGCGCCATAGGCGATCGAGCTTGCGTCTGTCCAAACTACAGCGGAGTCTCCGGATACGCACCATCGTCCGCGGGCCGGATCATCTGTGGCTAACCTCCGTGCTACATAATCGATGTGCTCCCTCAATGAAGCATCTCGTGTCTCATCGTCCCAGCTCTGAGTGAGTGAGTTGACGGAACGTTTCAGCCAAGCGGCTGCCGGACGCAGCCATCCGCCGATAGGCAAATGAGCCACTAGCCGTCCACACCATGAGAATACAGATCGGCGCGTTAATTTAGACGGTGGGTCCCCAATAGCATTGTCCCTGGCCCAGCAAAGTTCCCCTGCAATGGGTTTGACATGGAGACCCAAAAACCGGGCGCCGTTGACTGCGCGCTCCGGTGCTTTGCATTCAAGACCAAAGTTGGAAAAATGCGCTACTACGTCATCGGCGCTTACAACATCCTCATCGACGCATAGGTCGTCAACATAAGGAAGAACCGCTCGTGTCATTGTCGGGCTCTGGGAAAGTACGGCACGTACTACATCCTTCATGATCAGTGGGGCTACATTCAGACCAAATCCGACGCGTATCAAGGCATAACGCTTGCCCTCTATCACGACTGTTTGATAAGGCCACAGTCGCTTCTCTGTCCGTAACTGCAAATAGGCATTCTATAAGTCGACCACGGCGACGTTATTTCCGTGTCGTCTCCATTTCCGTAGTTGGTCGGCGCAGACCTCCGCATCAGCTGTGTGCGAATTAACATGCTGATTTAGCTCGCGGTAATCCAACACAGGTCTTATCTTCTCTTTACTGGCCTGTTCCACAGCCATCAACGGAATAAGGCCTAACGGAGGCCCTATGTCTTCTCATCGTACGGAATCAACCAGCCCTGCTCTATCCACGACCTGACCTCATCGTCGAATTTTCCTCGGGCGGCGCTTGTCATTCTGTATTGGCATACATTGTTCCTTAGGTACTGCGGACCAATACCATCTTTCCATTTCCACGAAACTGTCCAAATTTTCCTGACAGGATCAAATTGTGCAGCAAAGTCTGAAGTATCGACCCGGAGAAGTTCTGACACTCCCTCTGGTGACAGACATTCATTTGCTTCCGACTGTGACTCCATTGTTCCACAGAAGCGCAGTTCTGAAGATGTCAGCACATAAACCCCACCCAGTGCTGATATGCCAGACATCCCCAAGATCATATCCAATCCTGAGGGGGGCCGATCTACTACTAGCACGCCTACCTGGGTGTAGATGGCGCCAGCCAGATTTGGTGCATTGTGGTACTTGTCCGTGTTGCATTATCCTTTTCCGGCCTGTCTGATTTACCTATGCCTTTGGTTTACATGTTGTTCTGTTTTGTCATCATTCCCCGCCCTCTAGCCGGGTTTGTTGCGTCAGAATTCTGGCAGCTTTAGAGATGCGCGTCGAGCGAGGCGGATAAAATGTATAGAAGGCGTGTGTTTTCTGCCGAGATATTGAAGATTTAACCATGAGAAATATTATTGTATTCGTCGCGTGGATTTGGAATGCCAAACATGCTTAACCCGCGCCCCACTGGGGTCTGTGTATAACACGCCCTACTGGGGGGGGGGGGGGGCGCTATTCATAGCCCCCCCTCCTAACTCCAAAACTACTGGGCCGATCGTCAAAATTCAAACGGTGTCTGATAGCCCCGGAAAAACTGTCGAGCGAAACCTAATTTCATTGACCTTGAGGTCACCGATGACGTCACAGGTCAGGTCAAAGTAAAAATTATTAGCATTTTGGCTTGTTCATATTTTGGGCTCTGGCCGCCGTCTTACAAGTCAGATCAGGCTCATTTTTGGTTTCCACACTCGTGAACAGATGCTCTAGATACCTTGAGGGTACCAAACTTGTACTTTGATTTTCAGGTCAGGGTCAGGTCATCACAGGTCACGAAAATATTATATCATGCGTCGGTCACGTGACACATGTTTTATGGTCCATTTAGGCCATAGATTTCGAATTTGATGTCGTCTGTGTCATTAGAGGTCATTTTGAGTCGAATTTAGCTTAGGTCAGGTCACTTTCAGGTCAAAAAAAGTCAAATTTTGAAGTTAATTTTTTTCAACAAAAAAGGTGTCTATTGGATGCAGTTTGAGCTCAGGAACACGATGGTGCCATTTATATTGGTGTACGATGTCAAATACGCACTGAAAAATTGATTTGAAAAATTAATAAATGTTAATTTTTTGCAATAATGCGTATAACTTGGCCATTTTTGAAGATATTTAGCTAAAACTTGCTAGAGTTAGTCATAATCATGCGTTCTGTCACATATATTCCCGTTTTTTCGAAACGTCAAAAACTTTTTGAATAAAATATAAAAATAAAAATTTTGAATATTATTATATAGAATTTTCGAAATTTTCAAGATTTTGAAAATCCGAGATAGCAGTTTGATAGCGCGGTCAATTTTGAGTCCTTTCATGCAAAGAAATTGGATCTAGCTTAAAAACTGAGCTCTTGGGAGCGATTGCCGTGGTTCAATGTTTTGCGTCGAAATCGGCCGAACATGACGTCACTCTGACGTCATTTCCGGCCGACCTATGGTAGCTACGAAGTTCAAATTTTGACACAAGGTGTCAAATTGATGCAGCCGAAGGTGCTGAAAGTTTGGCGTCGATCCGTCAAGCGGTTTGGAAGTTATTGCAGAAAAACGGGAGGGGGGCTATAAATAGCCCCCCCCCAGTGGGGCGCGGGTTTTAATTTGATATTTGTGCGAGTGATGGTGAAATCTCGGTACCTGTCAGTGCGCGTCACTATTTCGTTCTTTCCGGCGGGTGCGTCTGGCCCGAGAGGTTGTGTCGGCTGCGGTGCTGGTTTTGGACAGAAGGTGGGTGGATATTCATCGATGATTGTCGTAAATTTGTTGCTAAAGGAATGTTGATTGCTTTGTCAGGCGTTAGATTTATTTGCATACGTATTTCGGTGGTTATAATATGCTCATAGGACGGCATGGGATTTCGCCTCAGGTGCGTCATTTTGCAGTGTGTTCTGTTTGTCCTAGGTGCCCGGGGAGGAGCTCGGCCTGTGCGAGCCCGGTTTTCCCCGTGGCTGAGTGCGCCGTGTGACGAGGCCGCGGTACGAGGTCTGCCGCCGGGAGGTCGGCCGGCGCGAGTCTGCTGCGGTGCGAGGTCGGTCGCGGTTCGAGGTCGGTCGCGGTTCGAGGTCGGCCGCGGTTCGAGGTCGGCCGCTGGGAAAAGGGCGTGGAGACCCTTACAGCCGGTAGGATATGTTTATTTGTTAATTAACTTCGAGGTGATATTTGCAGGGGAATTGTGTTAGCTAGAGAGTGGGAAGTGTAAAACGGAAACTGCTGTTAAATGTATTATTGTCTTCATTTAACCCGCGCCCTGCTGGGGGGGGGGGGTGTTTGAACACCCCCCCTTGTGGTTTTTCGCGAATATCTCAAAAACGGCGGCGCGGAGCGCCGCCGTTTTTGGTACACCTTATCATACATCAATTCTACACATGTTGTAAAAATTTCAGACCAAGGTCATTCAAGGTCAGGTCACCAGGTCACTTGAAGTGACCTCACCTCATAAAAAGTTTCAATGTCTGTCATAGCTACACCGAGTGACCGATCGCTTTGAAACTTTCAGCGATCGCTAAGAGCAATAGCATGTACAAAATGTATATCTCAGAATTTTGATATCGATGACCTAAGGTCAGGTCAATTTTGCGACCTCCCCATTATAAGTCAATGGGAGAAAATTGAAATGCGCCTCTTTTGGACGAAAGACATTATAAACACTCCCAAACACCGAATTACAAGTGGTTTAGACACACTGAACATGAAAATGGTGTCCGTGACCCTTGTTTATGCCCTGAGGTCATCTTAGGTCACGAATGGTATCTATCAGTTTTTCGCAAATAACTTTTGATAGAGGCATGCTAGAGCGATGAAAACGCCTTAGATGTGTTCAGCTCGACGATACGGATCGACTGATATGCAACATGACCCTTTCCGGTCAGGTCATGACCTTGACCTGAGGTCAAATTTTCAAGTTGACCTTTCAAGGTCAAGTTATAGTTCATTCGATGCGTCTTGACGAGAGGAACACGATGCCGGTAAAAATAAGCTCGTACAGGGCTTGGGTCAAAAGTTATTGCAGAAAAACTGTTTCCGAAAAAATCGGCTATTTTTGCAGTTTTTGCCCCCTGCAGGCAAAACCGTTGACGTTAGGTCAAATCTGAGAGAATTATTCAGAAAGGGCGTTAATAGGGCTATCGAATGCGCTTTTCCGCGGCGCTGTAGCTCTATTGGTTCCCGAGTTATGCGTTGGCTTCTTGGAAATTTTTGACATTCGACCTGGAAATCGGCGAAATTTTGCCTTCAATGACCTCTGGTGACCTGACCTTTGACCTGACCAAAAAATTGACCGAAGTGATTTCGTCATTATTTTTGACGCTCTTTCGAACGCCGCCTTCCGCGTATCGCTACGTGGCCCAGGAGCCGAGTTACAAGGGGGGGGGGTGTTCAAACACCCCCCCCCCCAGCAAGGCGTGGAAATCCAGGACCCCCAGCCGGGCGCGGGTTAATCTAAACCAACATATTTTGTATGTGCTGCGCAGTGCGAGTGTCGATGTGAGCGCTGGTGGATTCGTGTCCTAGTATGCTCTGCTGACGCCCTGCTGTGCTCCACAGTAACGAATCAGTTTAAATACAACTGTTCAGTCAACGGCGTGGTCTCGACGTGCGTGAGCAGCTGAGCTTGGAGTCGTAGACGCCCGGCGGCGCACAGTGGGCCAGGCGCTTCAAAAAAGCGGAATTAAATCAATGAGCACAGCTGCGGTGCCAAAAATGATTCGTTACAGGGTAAAATATCATGCTAAAGCCGAATCCGATATCCATTTTCAAATTTGATTGGTTACGCTAGGTCACTGACCTATGACGTCATTATTTAATTTCTGCGCTGCACATATGCCTGGGACAGGCGGGCACTATGCCGCATTGGCCGCGCGTTTGCAGTCTTTTCGTGGTTTCAAGCGTTCAAACATGTGATATGATGTTGGTCCCATGCTTTAGGGTGGGTGTAAAGGTCACCTGAAGGTCAGGTCAGGTCATTGACCTTCGATGACCTCGGTTCACTTTTTCGAGTTTTACATGTTTCTGGGCTAGTTTTTGGAGCTGAATTCGAATTTAGGAACCATTTGAACATTTACGAAGTAGTTTTGGTGCCTTCGTAACATGTTACGAAGCTGTCAGAGGCGGGTTGACACCTACTACGAATACCCGGCAGGACCCATACTGGTTGACCTGACCTGAGCTGACCCGACCTGGCCTAAATGCATGAAGACATCATCTGTGATCAAAACTAACATGATATTCGTGATCAGCATCCCGAAAAACCCCTTAGAAGCCACACTATACGACGTTCTAACAGGTCCCGACTTTCGGCCATTGACCTGACCTCAGAGGTCACCATTTGACCTATGACCTTAAAACCGGGTACGGTTGGCTTCGTCTCGTGACGACCTACACGATGGTTTTTTTCCGCGAGGCTCTAGCTCAATAAGGGGCCAAACGCGAGGAGGGTCGCATCCCCCTGTGCCGTCGAGGGATGCAAAACGGCCTATGCCGGCGAGGGTTAAACCCTTATTTGTCCATTTCGCGCAAAAATGCGCAAAATATTTGCATTGGGCAGCAAGCTATACACCTTGAGGAAAGTCAGGCAGCAAATATCTTCGTGTTGTTCGGTGACGTTTTCTTTATATCCTTACATAAATTCATTGCGTCGTTGCACTACCACGGTTCCGAACAGGCACTGTAAACCCCACCGCTACTAGTAAGCATGAAATAGTTCCCGGGAACTTGAGTACGAGAAACATGCGCAGAAATACCGGCTGTTTTTTTAAAGCTATTTTGTACGGAATAACTTTAATGATTTTACGCTGAGAGCTTTTGAATCGGGGGAACGGAAAATGGTACACAGCAGTCATTTCCATCTCCAGTCGGTAAGTCCTACTTTGCGGCGTTATAGCATTATCTGCCTTGACATTGGGGAAAGGAAACTTGCTTATTCGGAAACTTTGGACATTTTTACAATACTCTATCCCATAATTACAGGAATTTCACCGAAGTTGATTTTCGACTTAATTCCGCTTTTTTGATGCGCCTGGCCCACTGTGCGGCGGTCGCCTGTGGCGACTGCTGCACCACAGCGTCGGCTGTGGAAACTACACTGGGCTTTGACTCCAGTCGAAACTCGCACCTCTACAGTGCTGACTCCGCAACAGGTGAATGGGTCCCCGCTCATGGTTCTTACAAGTTACAACTGTTCTCCGTGTGCGATAGGCTGTGCAGCAGCCGCTGTATAGTATATTATCCGTACTTGCCGTATCCACCAGCACCATCCGTTCTTGTCCGTCAACAAGAAGTCGTGTGACAGGGAGAGCGCCGCCTGTTACTGCTCGGGAGACGACGCCGGCGCTAAAGCGACGCCCCCATTTCCGTTTCCCGAGGTCCTTGACGGACATTGCGGTGCTATGTGTTCTGGAGACCCACACGTCCAACATCGGCGTATTCCACGCCAGGGACGACGGCGAAATTCTCGTCTTCCGCGCAGCACCGCTGCCGTTGTCGCCGTAGTGACGTTACGGTCGTCATGAAGCACCGAGCGGACGCGAGTCAGTGCACTGTTCAGGTCGATGCTCTCCGCGCGACTTCCAGCTCTAATCATTTGCCGCACCGAATCTGGTAGACCAGCTACAAACGCGCACAACAGAATTTGGTCGGAGGCACCACCAAAAAGCGCCGCCAGACGGCGGAGGTCTGACAAATATACATCGGGCGACTCTCCAGGCTTCAGTTTCCGGTCGGAAAAGGCTTCGTATGCAGCAAACTGATCCAAAGCAAAGGCGGCGTGTAGAGCCGACCGTACCGCAAGTAATGAGGAGCGATCTCTCGCTGGAGGTTGAGACCATACAGCGAACGCACCGCCTGCGAGCCGCAACGGTAACACAGACATCAAGTCCACCCGTCTCATCTCGCACAAGAGAGTGGCCCGCGTGAACCATTCTACCACATCCGTTGTGCCGTCAAACTCAGACACCAAACGAACATCAAATGGAATCGAAATGGCAGCCATCACTTGGGCATCTTGTGGGCCTGGGGTGTTGAGCTCCGTGGTCATTTCGCCGTTGCGGTTCTCTTCGTTACCCTCTCGTCGTTCGTTCGCATTATCACGTCGTCTCTCCTCAGCCTTCACGTTCTCCATTATATTAGAGGGCCGAAACAGCTTATAGTATAATTTAAATCGAGGAAATCTAACTATAAAATACTTAGCTGAATAAAAGAGAAACAAAAACAATTTGGTTCCAGAGCGTACTGATTTTATTCTCTCATCCAATTCTTAACCTTTAAATATAACAGGCGCGTGACTAACATAGTCATGCGCCGTCAGCACAGGGTAGGACGAACTTTGGTAGGAATTTCTAGTATAACTGCTAGAAAACCTACTATATGTAGTCGGGACTAGCAAAAAGTTAGTTCAAACTAGAAGATGGTAGCGCTTATGGTTGGCAGTTGTGACGCGCACGTGACATTCATTTCTTAAATTTCTTAAATAACAGGCTTTAGGGGCCGATTAGTGGGCATATACATTCATTTAGCTATTAATAATTGATTATGCAAACATTCAAGAATCTACATCATTCAATTCTAACCAAAACCACGCGACGCTCCCAGGATTCGAACTCACGACCCTCGGATCCGTAGCCCGATACGCTACCGACTGCGCTACCGAGGACCACGCGCCGACGATCAGAGATGCGGATCGCGGGTGCTGGCGTGCAGAGAAATCTTTACCCTGTACGCCGTAGAAGATCGGCTGGGTTTCGTGAAAAATGGTAGAGGAATTGTCGAAAGAAAATTCATCGATCTATCATTTGAGACTAAGAACCATTGATTCCTTCAAAGGTTGACCGAGATATCGCTCACCGAAAACAGGCCATTTAACATGTAAACCCTATGGGCTGGTAGGAAATGTACATTGTACGCCGTGGAGCAGCAGTGCTACCAACTAAGTTCGGCGGGGGTCGACAGACCTATCAGCCTGGGCCAGCAGTACCCTCAGAGCAAGGGTCCGACGTCCAGCCGTCGCCGTGGTCTCTCGGCGTCTGTGTTTTCTAAGCTAAGAACTCGCGCCGCACGCGCACTGCACGCGCAGCGCGTGCGACGCCGGATGCTGGGGTCACTAACCCCGCAGCCACTCAGGCTCCTCGAGGTGGGAGATCGGATGAAGTGCACCTGCACTCGACATATCCAAGGCTGACGAAGGAAGCTGTAACGCTTCCGAAAGCTACCAATAAAAACCTAAAGCTGGTGTCAAACAATCTTCTACCAAATGAATCTGTCCCAACTCAAAAACAACATATATAATCATATGATTGCTCAGTTCGTACTGACGCGTCGCGCGGCCGCTCGCCGCGCAGAGCGTGACGTCATATGGGCGGGAGATGTGAGCGCTCCCGCTGCGAGTCCACCCAGCGCGCGGCGCCGACCACTGACAAATGGGTACAGCGCGCGGCGCCGACCAGTGACCACCGATAAATGGGTACCTACATGTCGGCGCCGACCACCGATAAATGGGTACAGGTGCGTGACACATGAACGGTCATTTATAAAAGATCGTTTTCAAAGTCAAAAGTCAAAGTCAAAGTCATTTATTAAAGACACGTCCACGATGTGGTTATTATGTGTCCAGTCAATGGAACATAATACAGCATTAAAATTGACACCCACCGCTCAGGTACACATATATGCATTTTATCATGACACGTAAGCTGCGAATAGCTGAGGATGAATGCGATGAAGGGTAAAAAGTTGAGTTTAGAGTGCTGCGCAAATAAAGTTAAAAGCGTGGAAATATATAAAAGTGATTCACTGACGAGGGGCACGCGACAAAGCTCTGGTAAAGGCAGCGCGGCTAGGCGCTTGTCTTGTCTGTGAATCCAATTTGTTCCATGCACTGGCAGCCCGGTAACAAAAACAGTGCTGAGACCGAGCGAGGCGTCGCTTTGGCAGCTCTAGAAGTCCCGCCGTTACCGCTCGCGTCATCCGCTCGGACACACTCCCTCGAGGGACAAACATTGCACGGAGCGACTCGGGACAGACCGTGGAGTTAAGCGCTCTGTACACGTGCATACAGTCATGATCCCTCACCCAGTCGTGCACTCTGCCCCATCCTAGTGATTCAAGGGCTGGTGCGATGTGCTCGTGGCGTCGTACACCAGTGACCAATCTCGCTGCGAAATTTATACATTTCTGGATACGGTGCATGTGGACCTTGGCAGCTCCTCCCCAAACGGATAGGCAGTATTGGATGTGGGGAAATATGTTTTCAGTCAGGAAGAGGTGATTATATATCATACATATTACCCTAGACTGATTTTAAGCACAACTGAATACTGAAAACACTGACGTCATAAGAAGTTGCTATTTTTTAGTCATTCAAACGGCTATATCTCTGGCAGTTTTAGAGATATTTTGTTGATTTTTCGGCTTGAGATAGGCCAGTAAGGATTTCTCTGACATTTCCGTATTTTTTTTTTTAATTTCTTCAAATTGGAAAAAATATCTCAAGAAGTCTAAATTTTAGTTAGAGTTAGAAAATCTCTAGATTTTGATATTTTTATGTTTTTTTTTCAGAATTCGAGATATAATTTTTTGCTATGCTTTTATGTACCTTAGGTGCCTTAGGTATGTACCTTAGGTTTTTGACTCGTTAAATTGAAAGTC